AAATTACCATAATATTTCTTGTACTATTAAACTACATAACAAGAGTTTCACAATAACTGGGTCTTTTAAATACTGTATTCTTTCATAGGCGTTTAGTATGTATTTGTGAATTGCCTGACCTCTGATCTTTTTGCTTTTCTTTGATTTGTTTGCCAGCCTAATCTAGCCATCATAGCCTATTTGCAAAACCAAATTCATTATTTCATTTCATTATTCATTTAAGAACCCCTGACCCGGAAAACTTCATATGGCCTAAATTTTTTTTTTGACATTTTAATCTTTCCCTGGATTTCCACGAACATTTCAAGAGTAAAGTTAGCCAAATCGGTTCAGCCGTTCTCGAGTTTGAACGAAACTAACGAACGGACATTCATTTTTATTTATATCGATTGAAGATAGATTTAGAATTGCTGCGAAATTCTTTAACCTAATATTTTACCTCATATGGAAATCGGAAGTCGGAATTTTGTGTTAGATAGTTCTTCATTAGATCCAAAGAGAATCAAGTATCTTTTTAATGCCCTGCTAAGTAAACTAATAACATAAAGACACAAGGCCGCTATAACAATATACAATTATTACTTAGTTACAGCATTATTTATAGTTGACTATAAAATGTAGTTAGATAGTAACTGAAAGGAAATATTAATGAAATTATTGATTTGTCAGCGAAATGTTAAAGAGTATCACTAAATATTGTGTCTGTCTGATCGCGATAAATTTGAAAGTGCTAGTCTGATTGTCATATAGTTTTCAACAACAAGGAGAGGCATCTTTGGGGAAGCTTCAGATGTATATGTTTAGCTTTTGTGCAAACTGACGATACTACAACGATATTAGTACTTAAATTAATATCATTGTATTTATATATAATTAAATATTACACAGAAATAAAGTCGGCAAGTAGATACTAAAACGAATGGTTTGTGACGAGAGACAACTATAACAAGATGATAAGAGGAACAATTGTAAAAAACCTTTACATTCCTGAATTAGAAATTAAGAAATGTAAATTAAGATTTTCGATAACTATCTGGGGACTTGGACCAACAAAACTATTTCATTAGAGATAAATAAAGCACACATTAACTCCATACATAGAAATATTAATATACTTATGTGGAAACTACAAGCGGTGTGAAAGTTATTAGACCATGTCTGAAATCTCACCATTTGTACTGAGAAACTCTATATTAACAGTTTGACTGCCGACAGAAAACTGTTGAAGGTAAATCCTCCGCTATTGTGGCCCATACCTAGTCCCCCATGGCGTTCAAGGTGTTAACTATAGATAAATATATTACTTTTAAACAAACAAATCACAACTTTTAAAGTACGTATATTGCTGCTGCTACTTGGCTGCATACTGAATGTAACACCAACTTTTTGTTGATTCAAATTATTTTGAATTGAAACAGGGATACAGCCTAAAAATTGGGAAAATAACAATTAAAAGTTAAACAATCATGCAAGCTGTTGTTTCAATTAGGCCATTTCTTTAACAAGGTAGTTGATTCAACTTTAAAATGGTTTAAAAAAGTTTTTGCTACAGGAAGTTGAATAGTAGAATCTAAAAATGCAATCAAGTGAGAAATATAGGTTGAAACATTGCTATCTTACACATGTGTAGTGTTTATAGTGGTTTAGAAAATCTATTAAAAGATGTAATTGCAAGTTAACTTGATTAATGCAGAAAGATTAATTGGACAGATCAAATAAATATAATAATATGTATAAATTGTTTGTTACAAAACACCATATTTCATTTAAAAATCAATTTACGAATATATCTTTCTTCTACCGGCTGCCACCAAATAAAACAGGTTGATATTACAACAGTCTCAAAGTAACTAATGAAGCATCAAACATTTACGACCACTGGTTAATGAATTCACTGTGTTACGCTGTATTTAGTGTAAACTTAACCCAGTTTTTTGTAGTTACGTAAAGAAATCAAGTCACGGACAGTGCAAATTAGTAATTTACAGGTATTACCAGTTTTATGTATAGTTCAATCATATGATAAAGTTCATCATGACATAATAATGAATGAAATGTTTTGTTTTTGACTTTTTAAGGAGCCATTAAATATAATAAAAATATGATAAACTTGATGTATAGCACCACAATATGTTTGGAGAAGTACTGCAATATGTACAAAAATAAAGTTTAGGAGAAGTTGACAAATATAAACTAAAACCTTTTTGGTTCATCATACACTTGATTGTGGAAATGTTGAAGGAGTTAACAAATAAGATACTTTCTTATAAAAAAAATTATGGGATTCTATTGAAACTGTATAAATGGAGAGAGGATAGTAATATATTATGACACAAATATATTAGCACAAGAAACAGCTGAAAACATGAAATTCTATCCTTATTTCCGAAAGCATAAAATTCAAACTCGTATTGAAAGAATATGATACACATTGATATTAATTAACACTGGCTATAATTAGCTCACACTATTAGTGTATCTGGTTTTTAACCGTGCCAACCACACCACAGATATGTTTAGTTTAGTTTGCTCTAAATTGTGTCAGTACCACACACCAGATGGAAATGTTTACAAATAAATCTAATTGATAACCACTTTTCTGTTTAATTTTACATAGCTAGAAGTGGATTCTTATTGGAAAATAATTAGTTTTAGAATTGCTTCTTATTGATTTGAATTCACTGGAAACATGCGTACATATAATGATAGAGGAAGATTTTAGATTACATTATCTATGGCAAAATTAATACCTTTAAGGTCACAGAATATAATTAGAGAAACAAATTTTAATAATAATAGGATTTCAGGACAAATTCAAAATTAACCAAAACCCCATCAAGTAATATTGAATACTAAACACAGAGCACTAGAGAGTTGACATTAATTTATTAATGTAATCATCATCTAATATTTACAGAGAGATAACACCGGAATAACTTGTTACAACATGTCTCATATAACCGTGTTATAATTTAAATATATATGTAAACAACACACAAACATTTAGAGGATAACTTGTAACAAATAAATAGGCTGTAACATAGTACTTTGAGGTTGATTGACTCATTCCCAGTACTCCATGAGACATCTTTTGTTTATACAGATTTGGATACCACACAGGAAGTACCTGTCTATTGACACGACTACACAACGATGCTTACTCACTTCAAGAAACCCACTAATTAATACATTAATACTCTATTAATGTAAATATGGCATACAATTACATGGAACATGGCTCCTACACTAACTCCAAGGATCTCATCAAAATGCTCTTACCGTTTGCGCCACAGGCATATCAAAGGTATAATCCACACACAGTCACACAGGGCAAGTCCACAGCCCCAAGATATTAATAGAAACAATTCAACAATCTCATGTGAAAGTTGTCAAACCGAAAATGAGAATTTACAGACGATCGACGACATTGTATACTTACGGGAAATAAAAAAACAGGGATGTTGTGCCCAACAATAGAGTCCACGCGAACGTCGCTGGGATGTATCTCGTTTTTAGGTCGCATTTGGGCATATTGTGTCAATTTTATTTCCCTAAAAGAAAATTAACTCAGTTTTATTCACTACAGATCAACATGGCCGCACCTATTAATCTGACAGAAACCAGAAACAGTGTGGCATGCAGTGAATTTCAGGGACGTAATTTAAATGATAACTTAATAACCGGTACTAAATATAAAACCGGATACTCTTGTAGTTTCATAGATTCTTATGAGACTAAAATGCATAACTAGTGAAAAATGTAACGTTGGTTAAGTGTTCCTACCTCTGCAGTGATTAAGACTAACTAACGTAAACGGATACCTAGGTCATGTCATGTTTAGTATTATTTTCTGCTTTTTAAAAGCATTCACGAAGTGATAAAACAGCCTAACTAGCAGTTTAAACAACTTTCGTTGGATCGACTACTCAAGTATAGGTACCGCCAAATATGATAATAAGACAAACTTGTCTTATACAAATCAAATAGTACACGGTAAGATGATTTCTATGAAGGAAATAATAAGTTTCATAATACAATACTACATTACAAACTTTAGCATATGGTATACATATTAGTATAGCATACAACCATATAAGTTTTTTTTTAAGGGGGGGAAAATCATCGCATAGCTTCTCCCGCGTGGGTGAGGCGAGTGAGTATCAGACTCTTACTGACTAAAAACCAACCCGTTCCTATTCCTACCCTTCGAGTTATAGCCCCAGCAACCTGTTAAGTCCTCCGCGGCTCTCTAGCAGCCTGCAAGGACAAGTAATTAAATAACAGAGGGTAAACCTAATATCATTGACCGGGATTTGTACCCAATAGTAATAACACTAGCTTTTACCCGCGACTTCACTCGCGTCACAAAAGGATAAAAAGAATCCTAATTCCTATGTGACATACCAATAATTTTATTTTCCCTCGAGAGTATCTTTTTTTTTCGGGATAAAAAGTACCCTATTATTTAATCCATACTTCTAACTTTACGTCTGCAAAAATTCAAAGCAATCGGTTTAGTAGTTGCGGCGTGAAAGCGGAACAAACAAACAAACTCACTTTCCGATTTATAATATTATAGTAAGGATTTTCATGCTTGACAGCTCTGCACTTTATTTTCATATTTTGTAAATATACAGAATAAAGAAAAATTAGATTGTACATAATAAAAAATTAAAATTATCTATTTCTTAAAATTAATTTAAATAAAACAGAAGATTTTTCATTCTTTTGTAAAATAAACTTACTTTCTTATTCTTTCTTTTTGTATGGAGCGGCAGATTCTCGTTATTTCTTGTTTTTTTAAATAAAAAAAAATAAAAACCGTATTTTGTGTGTGTATATTTTTTTCTATAGCCACATTTTTTTCTTATTGTTCGATAACGTCATTAAAAATTGGAAAGTACTGCCATTAGTTAAAACTATTCAAACGCAGCTGTAATTGGATAATACATATTTTGACAACTTATGACATTTGTTGCCATTGGCTCATCTAACTCTCATTCATTCGCAGTCTGGCAGTCTCGCGGACAAAAATGGCCGTAGTGTTGTCTTCTTGTCGTGCTTCTGTGGTTTGATAATTTTTTCGTAAATCTCTAGTACGTTTTTATCAAAGAACTTTAAGTTTTTTTTCTGAAAAGTGCTGACTAACTGATTTATTAAGTGTGACAATGTCTAATGGTACAAGTCCGAGTGTGTTAAGTTTTTTGAGACAATATAGGTTCCAGAGGAAACCAAACGGTCCTGGTGAACCCAGCAGCCCAGTAACGGTTACCTCATCTCCTTCAGGCTCTCGTAAGTACTTGTCAATAGGTTTAACTGTGCTAAGGACAAGGTCATTGTTAAAATAGCACGTGCTTGTATCTTCACCACGAGGAATTAAAATCACCACGTTCACTGACCCGTGTTTTCTAAGTGTAATTTAATTTACCGGTCATATGGTGTAAATAACCATGTAACAAACTACGACAAAAAAATCTGCGGTAATATTCGGTGTATATGTGCTGGTGATCTTCTTTATTTAAAATATTTTGTTATTCCTAAAATTTGTTAGCTCTAATATTAAGATTTAGAATTTTTGCTCAATGTTAAAAAGAACTATAAACAACAATAACATCTTGCATTATACAGTGTACAAAATGACTTAGGAATTAAGTCTAGAAACTAAACTTTCTCAACAAAAGAGGTAAGAATTTCAGACAACTCAGCAACTCAACTCAACAGAGTTTGAGCCTGAATATAATAACAAACACTTATTCATAACAAATCAAACAATTTTTTATCAATTAATTTATTATCATGTCTACTGCTAGACACCCTGAAATAAGCCTGTAAATGCAAACTACTTGCTAAATGATTGGATGCCATATTTTTACCTACAGTCCAATACATATTTTTACAAAAATCAATACATATTTTTTCCTTCATGATTGTTTATTTGATTTTTAAAGTGCCTTCTTAAAACTTTAAATAAATGACTAGACTGCAACTATCTTAGCTTCAACAATAAACTTCAAATTCAACATAGGTTCTTGTTCTTACATTAACCTTTCCATATTTTTGAAGCTACAGTAAAGTTGAGGTTCATAATTCTTAATCATGTAAGTAGTTGCTTGCTTTGTTGTTATTTGGTAATTGACATTAAGATTGTCTTTAAAATGTTCATATTTTCTTTGAATTTATTATTATGCAACAAGGTAATATGTCACAATTATGTCTTACATTTGTTGTGTGGATAAATTGACTTCTAGGTTATGATAATGAATGTAATAAGTTGGACATGGTCTCAGGTAGGAGAGAAATGTATTGTGCCAATCCTAAGTAACCTAGAATAAGGTCAGTAAAGAAAATAATGAATATTAAATGTAATAAGATAGACAGATGTAGTAGAAAATGTGATGTAAATTGAATGCAATATAGATTAGGTTTGTTTTTGCTTATCAAAGATTTTTTGTTTAGATACTATTTGTAATAATAATCAATGATTAAAATTACTAACAAATAAGCTACATACTACCAGTAGTAAATATCGCCTTGTCTAGCAAGTCCAGACTTAGCAGGTAAATATCATCAGAATTTCATATCTTGAAAGATATTGTTTAACTCATTGAGTACCACCATTATAGACACAATTGTAGAACAATAGGTTGCGGTCACCAGTGGCCACTTGGTGTTTGACAGTTTAATGGTAGAGAATCAATAATTATAACTCCTTAAAAAAATTTCATATATCACCTTCCAAATTTTATTATAGGCTAAGTAGAATACAATTCATATTAACAATAAGACTAACTGCTTACCAACATCAAATTCCCATTTAGCAATAAGTTTAGAACAAGGTATCACGATAAAACATAACCTTTGTTATTGTGAGAGGATTCATAATTTAGTAAACTTCTCACTATATCGATTGTACACCCTTGCAATTGCAATACTTGTGTATTTTTGTGAAGACAATGGTTTAAACAAATTTTGTAAACAATGCAATTAAAGAAACAACTTCTAAGACCATAAACCGCATATTTTAAGACCTAGGTTGCAGGCGCAGTTTTATTCATTGCTTACAAAACTTGTTACAACTTGCAAGATAAGAGAAATTGATACATTTCATGTTGTAACCTGATTCAGCATGAAAGTGTTGTTTTTGTACTATAGGAAAACTGTTTATGTTGCAGTTTTTTATTTAGTGTGTTTCGCTTTACAGAAATGATGCACAACAATAAAATTAGGATGGCTGCGCCAAACACAGTCGTAGTTAGGAATGTACCAGTGGTTTACAAGCGGATACGGTTGCAAGACTCGGATTCCGATGATGCAGCGAGTCCCGCTAAGAAACCCACTGTTGCTGTGGAACTCACAACTGCAGTCAAAGAAAGGAGATTTAGAAATATGCTTGAAATGTTCCCGGATATATCACCAATTGTAAGTTATATTTAGTAAATCATTTTGTGCTTCTGCATTTTTTAGTGCTATTCATTATTTGATCTTTAATGCCATTTAACACAAAATTACCACATGCAACAATGCATCTTTCTGACCAAGTCCTTGTATTTTACAGTTTGTTAAAAACACACTAATAAAACATGGCTGGAGTGAGGAACGTGCTAGGGATGAGTTACTGATGCATGACCCTGAGAGCAATGACAGAGGATCGACTTCCACATTTTTCGGTTCCAAGCCGAGTGTATCAGGACAAAGTGCCCCTAGAACTTATACTAATATGGGGATTGTCAGAGTGACTAGTGGACCTAAGATGAATGTGGTCGTGAGGAAACCCTTGGCATCCAAAGGTGGAAGGGAAAGGGGAGGTAGTAGCGGCAGCGAAGATGATGACTATGGCGTCAAAAAAGGAAAAGATGATAGAGTTTATGACAGGTATGTGTAACTAGTTATTTGAGTCATTTATGTTTTAGTTCTGATAGGGAATTTTCTTAACATAGTAACTACTGTAATTTATTATGTCTATGGACACTAATAGGTTTATGTATCCCATAAAATCCTCAATTTTCTGATTAGGTACACTAGAAAGTTATAATAATAGATATTTCGTAATCAATTGTATTCCTATTCCTAAAAGCTGTGTGATATACAATTGCATACAATTTTATCTGAATGCACAATAACTAAGGGCCGATTTTTCAATCATCAGTAATTTATTTATTAATATGAAAGAATTTGCAGATATTCTAAGTCATTCCTTAGTTAAAATTTATTAAAGATTTGGAAAAACCGGCCCTAAATAATATATTCTATCTTTATTTCACAGTGAGGATTCTGACAATGAGGTCACAGATGATCTTATAGGAGATAAGAAGAAAGTGTTTGAGTTCCTCAACAACAGTAATATGAATGAGTTGTCCCTACTCAGTGGATGCTCACAGAAGAAGGCAGAAGCCATCATGTCTTTGAGACCTTTCAAGGGCTGGTTGGATATGGTAAGTTACCTTCTTCCGTCTTTAAGTCACTTTTCCAAGAAATTGCTAAGTCCTAGAAAGGACATTAAAATGTTTTTGTGGCTTGTGGTTGTCTGGTACGGAATACCCTCACAAAGGAATGATTCACATACTCTTATAGATACTTACATAAAATGTAAACTTATATAAACTTCACTCCTTTCCCTGTCCAGTTCAACATACTAAGAATTTAACTATCATTTTACAGGTAGAAAAGTTCAACAGCAATAAGACGTTAAGTACAGATCTTCTGAATTCCACGCAAGAACTGTTGACGACGAGGAATAATATCCAGCGGCTGATGAAGAAGTGCATCGGCCTCGCGCAGCAGTTAGAGTCCGCGGTGGCGGCGGGCGCGGGCCGGCTCAAACAACCCGCCATTTTGCATGAAAGGTGCACTATATTAACCACTTATTAAAAAAAGTAACGATGGCGTTTCTGCCTCATTCTTCTCCATACAAATCTACACTTTAGATTAATTAATTAATTAGCTTCACTGATGGACAGATTGATGGACTACCTATGGTATTTTGACTTAGGTTTGATGTTTATTAGTCTCATTTTAACACCATGTTAGTTGCCAAACATGGTACACAAGTTTAGATTCCATTAGATCTCATATTGAGTAGTTCATATCAGAAAAACTGATACAAATGTTGCAACATGTCTGACAAATTCTAATTGAAGCATTACCCAAATTCTACCAATATTGTTTCTGGCTCCGTCATTGAACTGAACACCTATTTTTCATACAATAGGGATAATGACGGGGTATGAAAAGTCAAAATCGAATTAGTCCGTCAGTTGGGTAATGAAAAAATATAAATATTGACAAATAAGAATACTGTAACTTATAATGTCACTCAAAATCCTTTCAGCTTGAAACTCGCACCATACCAGTTAGTAGGCCTGAACTGGCTTGCAGTGCTCCATAAGCAAGGAGTCTCAGGTATCCTTGCTGATGAGATGGGGCTGGGGAAGACTGTCCAGGTGATAGCGTTCCTGGCACATCTAAAGGAAACCGGCCAAGCTAGAGGAACACATTTGATTGTTGTACCCGCTTCTACACTTGGTGAGTAGATCATGCTTATTAATACTCTTTTTTGTTTGTGTGTATCTGTATATAATATTAAATCGAAATAGTATCTGCCCAGCAGCTCAGCTATTCGGGAAAGTAACCTTTATGTTATTTCAGAATTTGATATGTATCTATCAGTATGTACCAAATTTTATTCAGATGTGTTCAGTCGTTTAGTATGTACCACTTAAAACTTTTTACCTGCCTTGGTGTTGGTAAATACTTATGACAAAAATGACTTCTCTTTTAAACAACATTCGTAATAAGGTGCTCATTTTATTTGCTTGTAACATGACCAAAGGTAACGAAGGTCCATGTGGTTGTTGTAGACAACTGGAGCAGTGAGCTGGCGCGCTGGTGCCCGGCGCTGCGAGTCAGCAAGTACTACGGACACCCGGAGGACAGGCGCCAGCTGCGCATACAGTACGCCAGGGGACTCGACGACGTCGATATTGTACTTACCACGTAAGTTTTACATTGTTTTATATAGCTTCTGCCCGTGACTTCGTACGTGCAATCCTGTTTTCTCCCGTTCCCTTATGATCTTCAGGATTATTTTGTCTATCATAAAAACCTTATTCTGACAATAACAAACACAACAAAAAAAAATCAGCCAATTGATCCAGCCATTCTCAAGTTATGGCGTGACAACGGGAAACGGGTTTCATTTTTATATATATTAGATTCTGTCTCTCTTTCAGTAGAACTTGATACTGCATTACTATGACATCCCATAACTCTAACTCAAATTATTGATTTGAAAAATGCATCTAACTTCAAATTCCCCTCGTTACTAATATACTTAATAATCTGATAACAAATAATTACTTTAATAAGTTTTACCTTTTTTTCTATTTGATTGTTCGATAAGGTACCTCGACTAAATGCAAGCCACGACGGAGGTTCTTAGTCATGAACAGCGTGCATCGCTCATATTTTCTTGCAATCTAAGATTCACTATGAATAATGTATGATGTTTTTCCAGGTACACAATGGTGAACAGTTGCCCGGAGGAGCGCAAAATGTTCCGAATCACACCGATGCACTACGTCATCTACGACGAGGCACACATGCTTAAGAACATGTCCACGCAGCGATACGACAATCTGCTTAAAATCAAGGCAAGTTATAATTTATATAGGTACTAATTAACTGACCTAGCAAATTTCATACCGCCTAAAATTATTTTTCTCACCTTTTAAAACTTCCCTGGAGTTCCACAAACATTTCACAAGTGTGGGAGAGCCATGCTTCGGCACAAATGGGCCGGCTCGACCAAAGTGATACCAAACCTCACAGAGGACCGACGTGAACTAACGTTGTGTTGTGTTTCGTCGTGTGAGTGAGGTTACCGGAGGCCCAATTACCTCCCCCCCCCCGTTGCCCAATCCCCAACAATCCTTAAATTCCTAATCCCAAAAGGCCGGTAACGCACTTGTAACGCCTCTGGTGTTCCAGGTGTCCATGGGCAACGCTGATTGCTTACCATTAGGTGATCCGCCTGCTCGTTTACTGGCTTATCCCATAAAAAAAACCATAATTAGCCAAATCTGTTCAGCCGTTCTCGAGTTTTACAGCACTTTTCACATTACAGCACTTAATGCCACTGTATGTAACACCCGCTTTTCACTATTTATGTTATGAGTCCCATACACCCCCTACGTGAGCCAATAGCCATACACTGGGCACAGTTCCAGACTCCTTTGGTTTGGTTGGTTTTATTTAGTTTTATCTAGAATTCGATTACCTTATGAACATTCTACAGTAATTAATAAAGTGTTACTTCCATTTCAGTCGAAGCACCGCCTCCTGCTAACAGGCACTCCGCTGCAGAACAACTTGTTGGAGTTAATGTCTTTGCTGTGCTTCGTCATGCCACACATGTTCTCCGGGAAGACTGATGATCTAAAGAGCTTGTTCCAGAAGACTGCTGTAAGTTCCTCTTGTAGATTTATGATGATATAGCTATAGTATATAATGTACTTATTTTTTAATCCCCGTTTAGGTCCCCGGTGACCGGTGTTAGATGAAGATTTACCTTCAATAGTTTTCTGTCGGTAGTTAAAGGCTTAATGAAATCCTACTCTAGGTCCTTCTCCTATATTAAATGCCGCGGAGAACTTAACTGATTACCGGGGCTCCGGCTCGAAATGCAGGAGTAGGAACGGGGTGGTTTTTAGTCAGTAAGAGTCTGACACTCCCTACCGGCTCATTCGATGATTTTTCCCCTTAAAAAAAAATATTGTTTATAATTCCTTTCACAAATTGACTCGCATAAGAAAAAGTTGTGTTCAGTTTTGGAATAAAGAAGCTCGCTTAAATCAACGATAATGTCAATGTTAGCATAGTCGATGAGCCACCGACTACTGCGCAATATGTCACGGGTCAATCTCCGTACGGAATATCTTTGTGTGATCAAGTGTTGGTAGTTCTCCATGTATATGTATACTAATATTTTCATAAACGCACCCACGAGAAAATCCTAGTGTTAACATTAAACTGTACCACTAAAATGTTAATATTATTTTCAGAAATCAAAAACAACGAAAAAGGCAGAAGGGAAGCAAGAAGATGATGACCTGCCCTTCGAACAGAGTCAGATAACTCAGGCTAAGCGTATCATGAAGCCTTTTGTACTCCGTCGGCTGAAGAGAGATGTTCTACAGGATCTGCCCAAGAAGACCAACCACAGGGAACTCTGTCCCATGTCTGAGAGGCAGGGAATACTGTACAAGAACCTTATTGCTAGTTTCTCTGCTAAGGATGGATCGGTGAGTGAGATTGTAGTATTTTTTGGTTTTAATTGATATCTTGGTAAAATGTATTGATGTTATGTCTACGTCATCTTTGGGTCTAAAATGTGCTGGAACGTGTTGTCATGCGTTATTTATAATCAATATATTGTCGAAAGTTCCGAAATGTAAACAATATGAAATATGCACTTGATGAAAGAAAACTTAACTTTCTGTCACTATTTCCGCAGAAATATATTTACCAAGAATGCCTCGTTGGCCGAGTGGTCGCAAGTGCGACTGCCGGGCAAGGGGTCTCGGGTTCGATTCCCGGGTCGGGCAAAGTATTACTGGGTTTTTTAAAAAATCTCAGTAGTAGCACGGAGTCTGGAATTGTACCTGGTATATGGCAATAGGCTCACGCTCTATTACATGGGACGTTAATAGTGAAAAGTGGGTGTTACATTGTACAATGGCATAATGTGCACCTCTGCCTACCCCTTTGGGGATAAAAGGCGTGATGTTATGATGTTATTATATTTACAGTAGTTTGGTCAGTGCTTTTAGAATTTTCAAATTCGAATTTTTCTTTAATAGTCACTGTGTAACATCAAAATCAGTGTTATACCATCCTCCCCCCCCAGATCCACGCTACCACGGAGCAGAGCGGTATGTCGATGATGATGGACATGCGCAAGTTGGCGAACCACCCGCTGCTGCTGCGGTACCACTACGCGGACGGCGCGCTGCGGGCCGTGGCCGCCCGCCTCGCGCGGGACCCGACCTACAAGGAGAACAACGAACAATACGCCTGGGAGGACCTGCTCTGCATGTCCGACTTCCAGATACATCAACTCACTCTGCAGTATAGTGTAAGATTTTATATTATCTATCATTAGTACTCGGTATTGAAATATTTATAGAGATAGGTACTTATGTTTTGTTGCCAAATTATAGATAATAAACTATATAAGTAATATTTATTTTTGTAAATACAGACTATTCTATAACCTATAGACTTAAAATATAGTCTCTCTATATGTTTAAACTATTAGTTATTGTGAGTCTACGCAATGTTTTTCATGGACTAAGTTCTTTTTGAATCTTAATTCGTGCATATCACCAACCAGCTTCATTTCGTTCAGAATGGATCTATTTTACACAACATACTAATTCATTTTTATCTCCATTCCAGTGTATATCATCATACTCCCTGCCGGAGCACTTAATCCTGGACTCTGGCAAGTTCCAGAAATTAGACGAGATGTTACCTCGACTGAAGGCGGGCGGGCACCGCGTGCTAGTGTTCAGTCAGTTCACCATGATGCTCGACATACTCGAGCCGTACCTCACTATACGCAGGCACCGGTATCTGCGGCTAGATGGCAGCACTGCGGTACCGGACAGGTAAGCATGTTTTTTATAAACTTGGTGGGATTCATCTTAAGATTCAATTAAGAAGAAGTTTTATCAACTATATACCTTTATTAGATAAGACTCATAAACATTACTGGTAAAATTAGAAGTCGTTGCGACATTGATGAGCAACCCCTAACCAACTCCACCCATTTTTAAACTGACTTTATGTTATGTAATTTTCAATTTCTCAATTACAGACAAGATTTAATAGACCAGTATAACAACGAGGATATCTTCGTGTTCCTGCTGTCCACGAAGGCAGGCGGACTGGGCATCAACCTCACTGCTGCAGACACTGTCATCATACACGATATAGACTTCAACCCTTACAATGATAAACAGGCTGAAGATAGGTCAGTATAATAGCATATTTTCCTATTATGTTGGTAGATTAATAATTAACTCGTCGAGTACCGTCATTATAGACACAATTATAGAACAATAGGTTGCGGTCACCGGTGACTGCTTGGTGTTTGACAGTTTAATACTCGGATTGAGCCTCGCCTCTGTGAGGGCGTGGTTTCGAAGCCCACTTCTGACACCATGTTATGTTGGTGGATTTATAATTAATACTCGGATTTGTTTTAGTTGGATTTATTATAATAATGTACAGAGCGCTCGTGCGCTCTGTACATTATTCGTTCTTAAACGTCGTCGTTTACACACACCAGAGTATGACAGATAGACAGCGCGCTCCGTGCCGTCTATTGATCTTATATACTACAATGTAGTGAGGGGGTAAGTAACAGTAGTGATGTTAATACATACTTGTAACATTCCCTACTAGCTACTTCCTTGCGGTTTGACTTGTTCTGTTCGGCGCCTATTGATCGTAGCATGATGGTTTATATTCTATAGCCTTCCTCGATAAATGGACTATCCAACACAAAAAGAATTTCTCAAATCGTACTAGTAGTTCCTGAGATTAGCGCATACAAGCTAACTCTTCAGCTATTATTTAAATAATATTTCAAGATTCCCATTAAATAAAGTACATTTTTAATTGAAATGTATTCTTCAAGTAATATTATATGTCATTGGTGCTTTTACAATCCAAATGCAATTTCATTTTCAACACACCGAATCTCTGATCATCTTTGTACAGGAATCGAACCAGCAAACCGTAGAATAAAAGGAGAGTGTTGTTCAACACGAATGGGTACCTTGAAATCAATGATACCACGTCCTTGCCGGCGTGACACGACGGTTAAGTTGTATTTCGCTTTGTGAGTAATATAACCGGAGGTTTAATCCTCCGAACAGCCCTTTTTTAAGGGAGAAAATCATCGATACTCCTGCCTGGGTGATGCTAGAGGGAGTGTCAGACTTTTACTGACTAAAAACCACCCCGTTCCTACTCCTACACTTCGAGCCGGAGCCCCGGTAACCCGTTAGGTTCTCCGCGACTCCGAATCGGCATCCGCCCTATTGGGCCCCATCCTTGCTCCGTACAACCCTAAAATGCAATTAATTAATAATTGCCTGATGGCAAGCATCAGGTGATTCGATTCGTTAGCTCGTTTCCTACCTAATGACAATATTCTCTAATCTAATATACATAATATGTTTTGTATTTACAGGTGTCACAGGATGGGTCAGACGCGTCCAGTAACAATATACCGCCTTCTGAGCTGCGGCACCATCGAGGAAGGAATCTACCAGGTCGCGCAGGAGAAACTTAACCTGGAGAAACATGTCACTGGTGATGATGGTATGTCCTCTCACTCTTTCATGACACCTTTTTTTTTTTTTAAGAGGGGATGACGAATGACTGCTCCCGCCTGGGTGAGGCGGGAGGGAGTGTCAGACTCTTACTGACTAAAAACCACCCCGTTCCTTCTCCTGCACGTCGAGCCGGAGCCCCGGTTACCCGTTAGGTTCTCCGCGACTCCGAATCGGCATCGGCCCTATTGGGCCCCATCTGTGGTGGTCTGATGGCTCTTTGAGGCGCGCGCGGAACGCTCGGCGCCGTACGCTCGGGTCTGTTTCTGGTCGGACGGGGAGCCACCCATGCTCGCCGTCCGTAGGCCTTTATGACACCTACGACAGTAACTTAGATGTGTTTGTAGCAATTTCATGCTAACCTAATGAACCAATTTTGATAAAATTTGAAATAGAGGTTGGTGTGTTTCTAGGATACTGGCTACTAGCCAAACTTAAGCTAATGTAGCATATTTACGATTAAGTTTCGCATTTACAATGCAAACGATGCAAACGCTGTAAATCCTGTGTCCTTTGAAGTTTTATGGAACTCTTATCATATCACTGTCGCTATCGCTCAAACTGTTGTGGTTCTTTCCTCAAAAGGACACTACAGAGCAGGTGCATATTATACCACTGTACAATGCAACACCCTCTTTTCACTATTTATGTTATGAGTCCCATGTTATAGGGGGTGAGCCTATTGCCATATACGGGGCACAATTCCAGACTCCGTGCTACTACTGAGATTTTAATACCTAGTAATACTTTGCCCGACCCGCGAATTGAACCCGAGACCCCTTGCTCGGCAGTCGCACTTGCGACCACTCGGCCAACGAGGCAGTCTACCTACAATAAGTTGCAAGAAATTAATACTTTGGTAGATAATTACATAGTTGGAAAAATTGTCAATACTTATTGAAATATTGCAGTCAGGAATTATATATACCTATAATGTATTATATTCTCTTTCAGAAAATGACAAGACGGAGCAGAAGAACGTGGTGCGGTTATTATCAGCCGCACTTGGACTGACATCCCCTTCCAAATGATCACTGAACAGTGACGTCATCGTCCTCGAGTGACCGACCAATCACAAACTAGTGACTCAATATAAAAAGTGAATAAAGTGCGCGCTGTGAATATTATAGTGTATATTGTATTTAAAATATGATCAGTTTGTTCATATTTAAGTGATGATGCTTTTGGACGCAAATTCGTTAAATTCTCAGTGTGTAAAGATAATGTTTGTGTGATTTGCCATCCTCTGCCTTATACAAATGTTAATAGAGTTCTAAATAAACGTGTTTATCCAAATGAATATCAAGCTCGCGATTTTTAATGATAGATGTAATATATCAGTTAAATAATATGTTGGTTTGGTTTTTCTACTAGACCTTATCTCAAAGTGCTTGAGATGAAATTTGGTTGAAGATTACTAGGACTACTAACAATGTGTAAGTCACGTTGAATCCTATATAATTGTTGAATTATTTTCTTTAGTATGAATTTTGATAAATATGTGGACAGAAAAAATTTATAGTTTAATATTCATACTGGAAAGATAGACTTTATTAAGAGCATTAGCAGTAAAGACCTTTCTGGAATTACGATTCATTTAAGAACATGTTGGTTTCTATTTTCTCTAAAGTAAGTATATCATCAATATGAATTATTCAACAATATTGTTATTCAAGTAGAGATGACGCGACGATTTTATTTTATTTATATTTACACCCTCATTAGCATATTTTAGGGTATATTTACACATATTTATTTTTGTTTCAATTGTTTAAAAGTCTTTATTTACTAACTGTGAACTTATAAAAATTATACAGTTGTAGTGGATTTAAAAATATATATAAACATTTTGGCAATGAACAAGACACTCAAAAATCACTCTGTATGCAAACCACACTGAAGTTAGTAGTGTGTGAGCGAGATGCAAGTATGCACGAACTGTACTGTCAAGTGAGACAACGATACGATTGCAGCACACTTCAGACTGGTATTTTTTTGTACTATGAAAATGTGAAAATAAAAATGTGTGTATGTGACCTTGTTGAACGTATTATTTATTTGTAAAGCGCCTTCCGTGTGTTTCAGTATTTAAACAAGCTGATCTGATTATTTATATTGAGATACTGACAAAATGGCTGACTACTAACTTCGTGTAAATGAGTAATGAAAAAGGCATCGTGTCATTTAATAAAGAATTTGTCCCCTTGAAATGAGGATCGTGAACAATTCTGAACTCTTTTCCTTACGCAGGAAGGACGAATTTGCAACAAATTATCTCCATGGAGGTAATTATGAACTAGATTTGAAGTTTTCTCAAAGATATTACGCTTTAGAAAAAGGGCGTATATTACACGACTGTACATACGAATTTAAATCTTTTGTACTAGCGTTTAGAGGCGATTATGATAGTAATTTGAAATAAGATTATAGTGGTTAAATTGTCAGGATATCAATATAAATGGTTATAGAAATAATTATTTATCGAAGCGCCCACAGACTAGTGTTAATTTATTTTACTGAATAAAATGTGACTTATTGCTGTTTACTACTGAGGTATAAATACTTAGAATAAATAGATTAAGTACGTAATTAAAAAATTAATTAAAATTCTGGGTCCAATGTCTGTGTATCATTTATTTGGTTATTTTTCTGTTTAGTCTGTTTTTACGGATATCCTTGTTAGGGCCATGTGCTAGATTTTTGCATAATAACTACCATTGAGATTAAATTTAATGCAAATATATCGCCACGTAAACTTTTCGAGGATTCTCAACTGATTTCAAACCAACTTGGAATTCATAATCATGTGCTGTGCGCAGTTTAAAGTAATGGTTACTCTCATTTTTAGGATCTACTTATATATATTTAATTTATTATAGTTTAATTTTATGTTATTATACATTGAACTGTATTTTAATTAAAAATGAATTATTTTATTAAATACCAGTGCTAACGCTGATTTGCTTGCGTTCTTGAGATTAGAAGTAGCCCAAGTCTTAGTCTATCAATTTACCAAACAGCAACTAAATCAGTTCAGCTGTTTTGTAGACTAGTACACAAATGATACACATACATTAGAAACAAACAAAAAATTGTAAAAAAAAACGTATACGCGGTTTATAAATTGTACCTATTAGTGTAATAAAATGATTGAGACCAGTTTCAGAACCTCTTGATAGTCACTATCCGCCAGATAAATGTAATTGGGTACTTTCCAGGGTATCAAAATAAAAAATCTAATTAGTCTGTCATTTAGATAATGAAAAAATATTAGACACGTATTTTTTTTTATTTCCTCGTCTTTAGTTGCAATACTTAGATAAAATGGCGCTAAGTTTAGGAGTTGTTACGTCATAACGTGCTACAAAATGTGGCACGCTGTGACGTCACACGATATTTCAAATTAATATATTGTCGAAAGTATTTAATTGTGTGGGAAAAGAAAAAATAGGTGTCTAAAGTTTTAAATTAATGTACCAGACGGACATTAAAATAAAATTTAGGAAACTACCCTATTATAGATTACCAATCTGTTTACTACTGTACACATATAACAATAGAGTTGAAAATCGATAAAAATGAAAGATAAGAGAGCAAGTTCATGTGCTATTACTATCTTTTAGTTTAATCTATCAGAGGGTTTTGAAATTGGTCATAATAGAGTAAATATTATTAATTCATCATCATTTATGTGGACTTGTAAGATATTTGGTTATTAGTAAGTATTAGATATATTAAATTGGTTTAATTAGTCTATGTTTCATGCTAAAACTTTCCTCAGATGAAGTTCGTATTTTTTCATGTAAAAGTAGTCTTTAAAGATTGGAAATAAGGTCTATAATAAAGGTGGGTGAGAGAGAACACCATTGTACTCTTGGCTTTAACTTGGCTTGTTTTGTATATATTTGTTTAAAACGATCTTTATCTCAATAGAAAGGATTTTGCGATGCGAATTAACTCACTATTTATTTCGTTAATTTGCTGAAGGGTTTACAGTTACACACGGCTTCTTGAACAAATCAATTTAATTAAATACTAGATAAAAATGTCTGGATCTTGAAATTAAATAAAAAAACTTCGCATTACTCCTCATCACATCTGAAATAGCCTGAAGTCTACTGTGATTAGCTTTGCCTTATTTATTTTCTTTTTCGGTTCACAAAATACACTCAATCAAACGGTTATATGCTTAAAATCTTAAAAAATCTTTACTTACTTACTAAGCAGTTACAGTTGATATAAAAGTTAGATCATTTAAAACATTTAGCATAAAAGTACTTTTTTGCTATAAAACAGAATGAACAAAATTGTTCTAACTTTCGTGAGACATACTAAATATTATAATAGCCGTAAAACAATAATTAATAAACAAAATTGTTGCAATAAAACGAGGATATTTCGTTTTTGCAGTCTGTAGGTGGCTCTGTAGCGGGTTAAGTTCGTAACGTCAGTTTGCATTTCACCGAGTGGCTTTATTTACACTATCTGGTATTGATCTACGATTCCAATTTTCTAAGGCCCCTAGAAGAGAGTAAGAACAGAATTTATAGTCCAAATAAAAATGTGAAAAGAATATCAAAAATTATAATTTTTTAATATTATGACCTTATTTATGGCGCTCAAATTTCCTAAGGCCAAAGTATACCTTTACTCATTCAAACTATTTGATTGAATAATGTTTATATTATAATTCGTCATCTTGCCAGTTTATTATAAAAATATTATAATGATTTTATACGATTTTTCTATGCTTATAGTTAGCCGCTGCATTTAAAATTGAACCTTAATGCAAGCGAAATATATCATAACCCTCTTTAAACAGGTGATTTCTTGGAATGTAAACATTATTCAACATTATGATCACATGAGTTGTGTATTTTAATTAGTAATTTATTATATTTTTAGTTCAATTTTTCGTTTATAAGTAGTAAGTTTTTAGTTTAATTTTAGTGTAGAACATTCCTTAGTTAAATAAATTAGTTGATTTTATTTTTTTGCTATTTTATTTCTCTTATTTTGCACTGCTTTCCTTACCTTTACCTATGCTTCTTGACCTGTAGATTATAATTTAAAAATATAAGTATCGCTAAAATGGGATTATGGGCACATTTTATCCTATACGTACATAGATAAGTATGATTTACGAATAATTGTAGATATTGGATATTGTAAGTATTCCTGTACTGTAATCTTTGCTAAATTTAGTAATACGTATATTATCCCAATCCTTGTGTAGATGTCACTATACTATACTGGGCTATTACAAACTGTATGTACGAACTGTCATGAGCCATTTTTATATGATATCTCACTCACACTTATGCGAGTTGTGTGGCATTGTCACTTTGACGTCACAGTTCGCACGTTTGTATTAGCCCAACTATAATAATAACTTGCTTAGGTATATCTGTGCTATCACCTAAATCGTATTGAAGCGATAGTCTACCCGAGAGAATAGAAAACTTATGGCACAATGGTTTTATCAACTACTAGGGCTTGGACTGCTTCATTGGCCGAGTGGTCGCAAGTGCGACTGCCGGGCAAGAGGTCTCGGGTTCGATTCCCAGGTCGGGCAAAGTATTACTGGGTTTGTAAAAACCTCAGTAGTAGCACGGAGTCTGGAAATGTGCCCGGTATATGGCAATAGGCTCACCCCCTATTACATGGGACTCATAACATAAATAGTGAAAAGTGGGTGTTACATTGTACAATGGCACAATGTGCACCTCTGCCTACCCCTTCGGGGATAAAAGGCGTGATGTTATGTTATGTAGGGCTTGGAGTCGCGGAGAACCTAACGGGTTACCGGGGCTCCGACTCGACGTGCAGGAGTAGGAACGAGTTGGTTTTTAGTCTGTAAGAGTCTGACACTCCCTCCCGCCTCACCTAGGCGGGAGCAGCATTCGATGATTTTCCCCCCTTAAAAAAAGGTTAGTCATCTCTTAACTAAAAGTTACTTAGCGTGACGTAGCAAATAAACTCACCCCTTGTACTGTTAGGTATCGCTTATAGGTTGGTTAAGACCGAAATGTCGTTATTTGTCACCTATCTTAGAATACAATGATATTTAGTCATATTTCCTTCTTGAGAGGGGAAAATAATTTCAAACGATTCCTCCCGCCCTTGGCGAGGCGACTGAATGTCAGACTCATACTGACTAAAATACCATCCCGTTCCTACTGCTGCAGGAGATTTCTGTTCTCTCGGTAGATTAGGTCTTGAATACTTTTTGGCATATAGCGCTGTAGATATTAGATATATATTGCATATTATAAATATATAATGTATTATATAAAATTAAATGACGCACAAAAACGTTGATCATAATTTAGATTGTACCGTTATAAATTATAGTACTTCAAATATGAAGTCTGTAGTATAAAATGTGTAATGTAAAATGTAATATTTGTATAAAAACTTAGCCTATCCCATTGTCTTATTGAAAATAAAAACCGCATTTTATATGAATCTAAAAAATAATATTTATAGAGAATACTAGAAAAGTCCAAGGAATTAAGGACATCAATATTTGTAAACTCATCCTATCTTTGTTCCTCAATTGCGTTTTAATATTCTAAATTCAAAGCTAAAAACGATACAAGCGCCCTCTAGCGGTGAATTCAAGCGATAAACTCTATCTCCTCTTTTGGATAAATTAATATTGCCTATATCTTTCAAGTGTAGGGCACAATACAGATCTCTTCTTTTTACCCGACTCTATGAAGGTTATTATTGTGTAATTTTAAAGAAATTGTAAATTATCTAGACTCCTTGGCAATGGGATTGGCATCTAAGTTGCTGATGTATCCAATATATTTATTTTCTTATGGTAAATGAGAACACGGGTTGAGTGAAATTCTTGCGTTTTATTAAAAACACCTCCATTTTCACAGGGCTAGGCGTGACAACATGGCATCATGCATGCATTTTTTTCCTTGAGGGCTGTGCTGCTATGCAGATTGCAGACGCATATTCCAGTAGCTTTCTTAGCCATTGTAAAGTGGGATGATATCCCCAGTAAAAGTATTGTACCTACTCATTTTTTACTTTAATGCAAGGTTATAAAATTGAAAATCTATTCAAGGATTTTGACTATTTGCAGTAGTATGATATTATGTTAATGTCTAGATATCCTTTCCAATTATCACAAAAGTCACTTGTTTGTCACAATATATCTTTATTATGCCTGTTACTCAGATAGCAATTGCATATAACGGTTCATGATCACCAGGCACAAGGTGTGGTAAGTTACCTAAACTTTTTAGGAGCTTCTCAATTCGTGAGTCTTTCAGGTAGGTAAGGAGCCTTTCACTTCGTGACATTGTCAGTCAATGTGGGTGGAAGTTGGAAGTGGTGTGCTGTGGTAACGTTAGGTAATGACTTAATGAGTGTAGGTGGTAGTTGTGAATCTAATTTGAAGTGATCGGTAAGGAATTTGGTTAGGTGTTGTTGGTGGCTCTGTGTACCTAAGTGTCGTGTAGATTTATGTTGCTTTGGAGGATATAGTGCTGTGCTAAGTAGTAGGTTTGGTGCTGATGCAGGTTTCAAATAAAGCGTTCATTGATGGTGATCAAAGCAGCAAATATTTAGAATGAACCAAATACCAACTGAAAGAATTTCTGGTTTATGTTTCTAACAAATCCATTTCTAAACAGACTAAAGCTCCAGTGCCTAGAGTTAGCGTCTGTATAGTCTAGGTATTGTTACAATATTTTACATAATGTTTTATTACCGACATCTCCGCGGCGGACAATACAAAGCAGTTACCAAGTAACAGTCGATGTAGAGCAGCCAAACATCGCATCGGTTCACTAATTCAATGGTTGAATAGTTCGCGAATCGTGCGCAACGCGTATTCCAACAATACACGCGCGGGACTTTGTGCTACATTCTTACTTGTAAATGACAACACAGATGTGAAGCAGTGCCAGTGTACGGTGCGAGAGTGTGTCGGATGGTGCAGTAGTGTGGCTTCCCTACGGACACGGAGGAGATGGTCAAGAAGGGCTGTGTCGGAGCACGAGCGGCTAGTCGTGGCTGACGGACGCAGCACTGTGTGTCGCGACACACACGCACACACAGAGGAAACGCGAGCGCGCGACCGGCGCGCCAGTCGGCACACCGCCCGGGCGGGCGCCACACGACCGGGATCTGCGCGAGCGACGAGCGGCGACGCGAACCAAAATAATATCAGTGAAATAAACACGTATCCGCCAAACGCTGTAACGTGCGAGCGCAAGATTCTGGTGAGTACTTACTGCTTCTAGCTCCCCTAGTCTATACTGTCACAAACTGTAACTAATCTCTGTACTAAAGGCATTTCCTACGTCTAAATATAGTTGCGCCTTATTTTGGGACGCTGCATTGACGAGGGAGTTTCACGCTGCGCTTTTACGCGGTTTCCTTCGTCTACGTGTGTGTTTCCCGCGTGAAAATTAACTTTATAAAACATAGTACAACAATTGACCCGCGTTAACCCGTGCGTCAGACCCAGACTTCAGCGCTGCGCAGTACCAAAATTAAATAGATGGCTACTGGCTAGTGAAATCCACCGACTTATATTAATCGAATAAGTAAAATGAAAGTGTCGGCCGCACATGGTTCTCGGCGACTGACGTGAAAATATCGTTTCCACTCGGATAATTAGTTTGGAGCAAGATAAAAAATAGATTTTCTTGTCTGTGCTTGTGTTCTCAATAAGACGAGACTGCGCTCTGGCCTAAATACCTACCGACACACACCTACTAAAGATCAATGTCTTAGCTTGGACTGGAGGCGTCAATGAGTGGATCACTTTACCTGCGTCGTCTTTGTAAACAAACGTGGACATAATTAGCTTCCTACTCGGAGATAAATTCCGAAACAGTAGCATTTACTTCAACTTGAATTTTATTCTGCGCGATGTTGCACGGTTAAGAAAACTTCAAACATGACTAATGACCTAAGAGTAGACGCGTCATCTTCAAGATTTGTCAGGAAGCAAAAAATAGGCATTACCTAAGTTATCTACCTAATTGTGTTGGCAATTGAAAATATACTTTTAGTTTTTCACTTTATTATTTGACCAACAAGACCAAATCAAACATGCGAACGATTATTTATCGATTATTTATCGACGATTATTTACGATTATTTAAAAATCGACAATTCCGAATAAAAAGTGAAGTCATTAAAACTGAAGGCAAAGGCATAAAGTCGTTACGTCCTATGATCACGCGATGGAACACAAGAAGAAGAAATAAAAAACCAATGTTCATAATAACTTATTATAGTGCTGTATATAATATCATATTTCAAATATTTTTACAGTTAATTAAAAGGTAAAATTCGAGTTTTAGTACGGCAGCGCCTGAGCACCGAAGTTAGGTAACAAAAAATATAGCGAATGGAGTCGAACGATTGATTCAGGTCATTTACCCCTGAAACTGAGACCGACTACGGAGTTACTGTAATCGTTTGCTTGCTGCATTTTTAACATTATTCAGACTTGATAAGGCTGAAGTGAAAACTAATTTAGCTTCAGATTTAATTTGAAGATGCGATAGAAAGTCTGAAAATAAAGATTACGTCGTACTTTCCTAATTAGTAAATGCGTCAAATGAAATTGTTTCTTAATTATAAGAAGATTGTAAATAATATGTGTGAGAAAGTCGACACTTTTCAGCAGAGTAAACCAATAAAAAATATTTTATGTTATATTAGCTTCAGTGATTTCATATTCGTGCTAATTATATCAAAGAAAGATGACAATATTTGTTCAGAAGTGGTTAAATACAATTGTATGAATTAGCGCTTTCAATCAAGACCAATTCTAAGCTCTATTAGATACGATATTTATATGAGCCAAGAAAAAATATGGAACAAAAACGGGCCTTCCTAAAATTACCTAAGAAATGGAAGAAACAGAAGACGAATAAGGCACATACGTATACCTAGGTAATTAGTGACGGCAAAAATATATATTTTCTTAAATTTCTATTAAGGGTCATTGGAAACCTGATAGGTAATTCCTATGATAATATCTATAAAATACTAGTAAAGATTAGACAGTTGAAAATGAAATCCTTAAACCGCCAGTTTTTTAGGTTATCCTAGGCGTAAATCTTATAAGAGCCGATTGTGAGATGCCTCAAAAACTAAACGAATAAAAGTGAATCAAACGAAGAAAAAACTACGCTTCTTTGTCGACCAGAAACCCTAGAAGTCTGCATGATAATTCCATGACAGTAATGTAGATCATTGTCACTGCTGCAAAGAGTTCAAGGATTAAAAGAATGGATAGTGGATAGAACGAGTTGCAGGTTGGACGATGGTCGACAACCGAGATCGTAATAGTCTGTTTCCTGGCCTTTTGCAACTTCTGCAGTATTGGTTACATCCACAATAGGTACATGCCTTTTTACTCGCTTGGCCAATTGAATTTTGTGCCTTCTTTTTGCTTAAATATTACTCTCATATTGTAGTCACCAAATATGCGTTTAACTATTCTTATAAGCTATTTTTGAAGGTTCTTTAAAACATTAAATCCCACAATTTATGTTGTCGCGACGAGTCTTCAAAACTGTGGTCATATAAGATGTAACTTTTTCAATATAGAGAGCTTCTGTCAATTTCTTTTTTTTTTTTTATAAAATAGGGCGGCAAACGGCAGACGCTTGTTAGGCAATCAACGCTGCTCATGAACACCGACAACACCAGAGTAGTCCTCGTCTGTTCTGCTACATTATTGAGAAATTAGATTTTATAAATTTATTTTATAATGTTTTTAATTTTAGAATTTAATTTATTTAATTTGTCGGTACCTGCATGTACTTGTAGTATGTTAGTGTATTGTGGATCTTAATCACAAGGTACCAAAGTACTTCTTTTGGTACTTTTCCTGCTACATTATGCATATTGCTTTCTCTTTGTAGTGTTCCTACCTTTCCTTACTTAAGATCATTCAGTCTTGCTAGACTTTCATAGATCATACTTTCACACGTACATGCATAATAACACAAATACTGCACAGTTTATAGAAATTGTTTATTTTGTTTAAACCATGTGGTTTCCATGTTCAAATAAACTTTTGCAGCCATTAGGTGTTGAAGAGTTTATTATTTATTAGGTACAAAATGCAAGGTGAATGACCTATCACTGCATAGGATGTATGCTAGTCAAACATGGGTATGATAAGATTAGAATCTTGCAAAAGCTAGGTTATAATTATACTTAGGCAATACCTTACGTTGTTTAACTGAGGCTGTGGAACATCTAGTACCTGTGAGAAACGGGACACCAAAGTGGTTTTTACTGACCGGGGTTGCGGATAGGGTTGCCACCCGTACTTTATAATAAAGTATTGTACGTTATTTAAGGTAATTGTACTCTATACTTTATAAGAATAATAAAGTACACGAAACTATTTTATTTTTGCAAAATTCGATATCGATATTTATCGACTTATGTTGAATCGATTTCGCCACTCGCCAGCGCCACTTAGACAATTTCTAGTAAAGATACAATTGTTTAGTATGTCATTGCAATTGTTTAGTAAAGATACTAATTTTATACAAACTGCAAAAAGCAATAAAAGGTATAATTTTAAATATAATACTAAATAAGAATAAATTGTACTTTATTTTTGTACTATGTACTTTAAATACCAAAATAAAAGGTGGTAACCCTAGTTGCGGACGACTGCGGGTTACCAGGGCGCTCCTTTAACTCACGCGTTCCTCATCATTAAATTCTCATTATTAGATTCCATCATTAGAGGTAGATAGGTGGAATGGAAAATCGCTTTTTCCCCTCTCGAAAAAATTGTGGACTTTACAAGGTAAGGCCTGACGGTGTCTTGTTTCTTCCCTAGGCTAAAGGCCTGCACGAAAATTTGACATCTTTTTGGCAAAAAAGTTATAAGCATACAATCCGCTATTATATCCACAGGATCCTTCCGACCAGAACTTATTGCTTTATTTAAAATCAATAAGTAATTAAAAGAACAGCAATGTAACTCTAAAATATTAAACTCAGTGGACCATGCAAGGACTATGACGATGTTACGTGATACGTATGTATAAATGCTATATGTACATGATATCCTGCCAACTTCACGGCCTTGAGGAACACAGTACTACAATTATTGCTACACACGGCTAGATAGTTATCGATATATTATATTTTCTATAAATAATATAATGCTGACGGTGCGGTGGTATCCCACGACATTAGAAAGGTTTGTGAAAATGCTCTTTGAAAATATCGTTTTCAAAATATGTACAAAAAACGTTTATGATGTGGTCCAAAGAGTATATATAGAATAAGTATAGGGGAAATTTGGTTTAATAAGAAGACTGAAAGTGATATTTATAACTCCATACTATTTTTGTGACAATTTGATCAGGTTTTTCATGTTTACAGCAGCTCATGTCGAAATTACATCATCAAATTAGTGCATCCGCAATTTTTGGAGATTGAATCCCGTGATGTCATAATAGATCCTTATTGCATAGCTTAGAATGGCGACGAACTAGCTTCTTCAACTGCATCCCTATCTTTAGACCCTACATACATAACATCATGTCATCTTCTAATGTAAATGTTTCTACAAACACCTAATTTAGTGTTTTAGTGTATACAGATCTCTTCGTGCTCACAGCATATTTGCATTAGGAATAATGTAAGCATAATGTAAGATGCGAATACGCATGCGTAGTTTTGTTAACATAACCGCAATCGCCTAGACCGCCAATTAGCGAGTTTTCTGCTAACTGACGCCATCTTTGTTTAGTGTTTGATGCACTGTGTATTCTAGGAATATAAAGAAATTGGTGGATACATTTACATACATATTTGGATATAATTAAGGGTGCTTTTTTAATTGTGGTAGAGCCATGCTTCGGCACGAATGGGCCGGCTCAACTGGAGTGATACCACGGCCTCACAGAAAACCGACGTTGAACAACACTTGCGTTGGGTTTCGTCGTGTGAGTGAGGATACCGGAGGCTCAATTACCCTCCGATCTCCCCAATCCCCGAATCCCCAACAATCCTCAAATTTCTAATCTCCAAAAGGCCGGTAACGCATTTGTAACGCCTCTGGTGTTCTAGGTGTCCATGGGCGACGATGACTGCTTGATCCGTCTGCTCGTTTACCGCCTTATCCCATAAGAAAACTTTTAAAAGCGGCTTATTTTTGGAGGATAAGACTATACACTTCTCTATGGCACATCTTTTAGCAAACCTGACTTTCTTTGATATTTCC